TAATCGACGACCGACTCGTATACATTTTCGTACACCAACGGCAACACAAAAGAAAGCTCCCATACTCGGTCGCGAATCGAGGCCCCATCAAATTATTACGCAACCAAACGTAGGTATATTATGTAGGCCGTGCACGACGCTCTCGTACAGTAAAATACATTTTTTAGCGGTCTGAATGACGATGATGAAACATTTTTCCTCCCCATTAATTACACAAATCGAGACGTGCATCGATAATTACCTGTACGGACGCGTAACGCGTGCATGTGTTACCCAATATCACGTGCAGGAGGACGAGCCAATAACTTGGCGAACCGCAAGATCGTGTAAATTTTCGGAAAGAGGGGGGGGGGAGTTACGCGTTACACGTGTGACCTGCGATCGAAAAGGAGCCCCCTGTCGTATTATTAAACGAATATATTCAATTTAACACCACCGGACCACACGCACCTCTCCCGACGTGTACATGCATGTATATATAATAATAACGATTGGCGCTGCTCCGTGAACTTTTTCCCGTGGGGGCCTCGTTTTTCGTCCGAGTGCATGTACCGCGTGAGTAATGTGCGAACTCTCAGCAACGTAGCGCCGCTCATCCACCGAGGAAGCGCAAGCTCGTTTTCCGATGTAATTATTAATCGAGGGACCTATTTTTTCCTCCCCCGTGAGGGTGATTTTATGGGGTTCATACACGGGGATCGATTATCGCCGATCGCCCCCTCCCACCTTCCACTCGATCGATCAAAATTGACGTGGGGGCGCTCTCGTAATTTCGCAACGGTGTACGTATACGTGCGCCCGGCCGACGAAATATTGAATCAACGTCCCGGGTGATGGATAATCCCGTGTAAGCGAAGGGTAGTTTTTTTTTTGTTTTTTACCGGTGCGCTCCTCTTTTTCAAAATTAAACCATTAGCCTGTCGGGCGATTTAGCCCCGTAACGGACGATTATTATCAATCTATACGTGCAGGAAGAAGAATTGATTGTTTGTTGTTGTTGTTCGATTAATTTTTCACTCGAGCGCGTCGTGCACGCAGGTGGAATCGCTCGCGTTGTGTGTATACCTATAGGACAGGGGCGGAAAATCTTCTTAAAATCAACGCTGTAGGTGTTTTTTTTTTTTTTTTTTTTACACAAGAGCCTTGCGCACGCAGGTGTATGGCGGTTGAGTCTTTCAAAAATGGAAGAAAACCAGGCACACTGGATTTTTTTTTTTTTTTTTTTACACAAGAGCCCGAGAAGATTGATGGTAAAAGTAGAAAGTGTATACATATCATGTGTGAAAACCATAGAGATAATATCCCCACCATCGTGCAAAAGTCTCGGCTACCGTCGTTGGCATTTTGGTGGGTGTTGTTGTTTTTTACGGTGGACAGGCGACGTGTAGCAAACGTACTCGTACGTCGTGACAACAGTAACGATATAGGAGCGAGAGTCACCCGCGACCTCCATTTCCAGTAGCGCATGTGTACGTAAAATGTACCCGCTGTATGGCGTGGCGATGCACCTCGAGAGACCCCTCACCCACACGATGTTTCCCATTGATGGCTCGCAGGGGAGCCTCTCCAGCGCTTGTTAATTGCCGGTAATACCTCCGGTGCCCGTCGGCCGAGTCGCGGACACCTGCCTCCGTGCCACGCGTCGAGCGCCCGTGCGCATAAGTAAGCAGCTGTACATAATATGTACGAAGGTAGCCCTACGACAGGTGGATATAGCTATACTTACGGCAGTGAGCATTGATTGGGCCACGAAAGTACGCCATTACCGTGCACGCTTCACACCGTGTTTATACGTACTGACCTCTCTCCGAGCCTTTCAACTATTTTTCCCGTACACAAGTACGTTTCAAAGTCGTGTAGCGTTAATTTGTCGTGGGCACCTTTCGGGAAGAATTTTAGCGCTCATCTCCGCAAGTATTCCGAGGATTCTCCGTTATGTCCTTCGCGTCCTTTTTCCTCCCCCGACTCAGCGTCCCCATCGTGGTGCAGTACACTCAACATATGGACAAATACTAGTAATATATATTCACGATGAAATTGCGTACATATACGTAACTCCAGTCTCGTTGACAAAAGTAAGACAAAGATAAATACACAATGGCCACGTCATGTACAAATGTATATACAATATGCGCATCTGTGAGAACAAGCACGAACGTTTATAGTCAATCATCCTCCGTTGGGGTCGCTTTCTCCGCGCTTAATTGTTCTCTTTCACTACGACTCGTCATTATGACTCCCAAGTGTGTACACTCGGTCTCGTTGCTTGTTAAATTCATTTCTCGTTCGTATGATGTATCCTTACACTGCAGCCGCTTTGCAAGAAAAAAAAAACAAAAAAAAAAAAAAAAAAAAAAAAAAAAAAACAATTATTTTATATTTTCTCCCCCTGTAATTCACATGTATACCTGACTAAAATTACAACTCCAACGGTACCCCCCATGTGTCCATTACAACGCAACTAAACATATAAACACAGGTACACGTGGTTAATTTTTTAAACGACTCGTAATACTGCCTCGTAGTTTGACAAATTATTATTGGAAAATGTGCATTTATGAAGCAGCAGCACGAGCAAGCAAATCGGCTAATAATAGTGCACTGCGCGTGTTCCAAGGGATGATATAGTGTTGTTGATGATTGAATGAAAAGAGGTCACGTCATTACCAGACTGCCAGTCATAATTGTCTCTCGCGGAGAGGGAGAAAAACGTCCGAATGCTAAACGATGTATCAGCGCGATAAAAGTAACAAAACTACGTATTAAATATATGTATATCTACACCACATGCTCAAACAGAAAGATCGACAATGGGCTTTGAACAGTGTAAGGAGCACAGAGAGACCGGAAGTCGAACGAACGGAACTGCGGCAGCCTCGGGTGTATAGGTATATAATAATATACATCGAAAGTAAACCCACAATGGCGAGAAGGGGTGTGTGCACTATCGGCGCAGCATCTCCCTTTCTCCCGGGCGAGCCTACACATACACAACGGGCTTATCCGAGCTTTCATCTCGCTCCTTGCCCCGAAGCCTTTATGTTCTTCCCGATATGGCATGCACTGGCCAAGGGTTGGGCGCACGTGCCATTGTGCACGCCCGACAACCTCTGACCGGTACTGTGTACATCATACTTATATACATATACATCACACGATCGTCCACATTGACGCCGAGGAGAGGATACACTTCCGTCTCGCCACCAGCGCAACACTGCAAATGCATGTATACGGACGAATATCGAGGTCGTGCATTTTCAAGTTACGATCCATCACTTGGGACCGAATAAATACATATGTGTATAAAAATCACGTACAAGTATAGGTGCCACACGCACGTACCGACTCTTCCTGCATTATATTTATTTTATTGTGTACCCGGGTGTCCGTCGTGTCGCCCCCAAAGCCGTACACACGCGCTTGTCAACACGGAAAAAGGTAGAGTGAGCCGCTTCATACGATTTCGATTATCGTTTGCCGTATAGGTTCAGCGCTGTATCGCGCATACACGTATGGACTCGAAAGATTTGAAACATATCCGCGTCCCGATATGAAAGCTTGATTTTCGCTGTATACCTGCACGCTTGCTCATGTATCCATGTATATATACATATACGCATCGTGCTGTACAGCTGTATACGTATATAATTTACCCTTACGTGGCCCATATGTTATAATCACCTTACACGCGATGCATATTATAATTATGCGCACTTGTACGACCTTTCGGGTCGGGGATTGGGGATATTATCGTTGTTGTTCCGTTTATTCTGATTGCGGGTAGGCATATCTATGTATATGTGGAAACCATGTACCTCGAGGACCGTTTGACCTGCGCCTATATAGGATACGTACGTATGTACGTCGCAGGCGCGTTTTCCTGTACGTGCGTTGGATCGATCATACGCGGCGAGTGAAACTGTGCTTTCGTGAAATTTTAATCGAATCGAGGAACGTCGAGATTTATGTAGGGTCGAAAGTCTCCTTGTTTTGCACGAAGGTACGTGTTTTTCCTTTGGTGTCTAGGCTTGTCACGTCGCATCCTTCCTTATACTGTGCCAAGAGTCCTTGACGAACGAAAATTCAGAGACAAAGTTTTTTTTTTGTCGTATCCACAATTTATAGTACAAGGCGGAAAATTTTACAAGAATCTCGCAGCGTCTGGGAATAATAACTTGTATTTTACATCCACAGTTTCTCTTTTTCAAACACTAACGTCGAGCTTGTATAAATTTGATGATTTGAGAAAAAAATAAGATCAATTACAACCCTAACCATTTACCAATACTCAATGTAACACATTTAACAGTAATATGCTTATTAAAAAAAAAAAAAAAAAAAAAAAAAAAAGATTAAAATTATGCGCTTGCATATTATATACCAACGGCTGTATTGAAAACTATGAAAAAAGTAAGAAACAAGAAATGTGGCTATGAAGCTTGATCGTCAAGTAGAATTAAACTTTTTAAAGCGATAAATAACGTCCCTACTTGTATTTTTTTTTCAACTATACCTTCAACTCTGTCAATACGTCAATGTATCGATTGGTATAAAACCCCTTAAAAACTGTACGAAAAAATTTCCGTGTTTATTTGCATCGATTTACACGCGCAACAGTCCACGTATCGATAAATCTCCCAGCCGATTTACCAATTGATACATCAATAGATATTCCGGACGGTATCGTGTATACATGCATAGAGTAGTCAAACTGATCGGTACACCGATACATAAAGATCGATCCCTTGCCGCGTGTACATTGATTTGTGTGCGATTCTCCATAAAGAAATAAGCCTCCTAGCATTGAATAGACCACTTTTATGCACAGCGTTTCACGTTGTCTTGAGCGTCGGAATGAAATTTTGGTGAAAAAGTTTTGACATGCCATCCTAAGCTATAACTTAAAAATAATTTGACATTAAAAAAAAAAGTTTAACATCACAATCAACACCCTGCAACATATATACTCAACAAAGACCCGTATCGATTACCTGTTTCAGGTCGCGGCTCGCCTCACGTCTCCACGGCCCTAGCTGGAGATGGTGAAGGCAGATTCGTGACGACGCCTGTGCGCAGGGACAGCATAAAGGCGCGCAGCAAGGAAGACCTCGCCGAGGAGGCGGCCCACGTGCTCCGCCAGGCGGACAGTGTTGACTGCTTCGCCTACGACTCCGCGAGCCCACGCAAGTACAGCAGCCTGCCCGTACGGGGCCGCAAGGCCAAGCAGCACCACCAACCGGACACCGGCCGGCAGCTCAGCGAGGGGCCGGCCGGCACTCCGCGGCCGAAGAAAAACCGAGCCCTCCTCGAGCGCAGCCACAGCGATGCCGGCGGCACCCGCCAACCCTCCCCCACGGTCCCCAATCTTGTCCCGACCGAGCACCAGGTCAGGCTAGGCCGGAGCCACAGCGACGCCGGCCGGCTGCTGCTGCCACGCAAGCGCAGCGGCAGCGACGACACCGCTCGAAAACCCCTGTCGCCCATCATCGAGGCGTCGCCCCAAGTCCGCGACCAGCCCTTCCAGTTCGACCCCGCCGAGCCCAAGAAGCCCAAAAAGCACCAGGACGAGGTGGACCGCGGCCCGACCGCGGCGACGGCGCCAAGGCACAGCAGCATGCTGCAGCACAGCAGCAGGTATGACCACCAGCAACGAGCCGAGGAATCTACCATCCACAAGATGATACACCGTCTGTCGAACGACCGCTCCCCGCCCCCACAGTTGACCCGGACGATGGTCAGCCCGGGCCCGGGCTTCGGGCACAACAACAACCGGCCCTTCTCGTACACCCGGCCCAACGACGCGAGCCCCCCGCCCGCCCAAACGGGCCCGCCGGACCAACAGGTCATCTACGCCCAGGTCCAGCTCGACAAGAAAAAAGCCGCCGCCGCCGCGCAGCGCAGCCACTCGGACAGCGACGAGGGCCTCGGGCTCGAGCGCAAGGACTCCTCGCGGGAGAACAGCCCCGCGGAGAAGGAGTACCGACGTGCCGACTACTACAACGAGCTCAACAGCTTCAAGAGCCGCCAGTACGATGCCGCTGAGGCGCGGATCAAGCCGGCCGGTGGTGGTACGCTGTTCGGCGACTTTGGTCCATCGTCGTCGGTGGGGACGATCAAGGCACCGGAGAAGCCATCCCTGTACACCTCGAGCGTGTTCGTGGACAGTGGTACGGAGGCGGCCAAGCAGCTGAGCAAGAGCTCGGAGCTGAGCGCGCGGAGGGACCTGCTGGAGTCGAGGATTAAGTCCCGGCTGTTGGCCGACGAGATGTTCGCGAAAAGCGCGGTGGGGAGGAAGCCGGCGGTGACGACGGGGGTGGAGCACGGGATCATCGATAAGCCGATCGTGCCGTCGCCGGTGGTGCCGAGCGGCCGAGTCGGCTCGTCGCCCAAGCGCTACACCGAGACGTACATAAGTGAGACGCGGACCAACAGCAACGGGGAAAAGTACATATTCGAGAAGGAGGTGCGCGAGGACAACGAGGGCAAGGTGTACGGGTACGAGAAGAAGATAACTAACCGGTTGCCCGTGGACGGGAGTTACGAGCCGAAGGAGGGCTACACCGTGGAGACGCGCACCGACAAGTACGGCGACAAGTACATCGTCGAGACGCGCACCCACGGCGACTACGACGACGAGCTCAAGGCTACCAAGAGCCCCGACCTCTACGACGACGACTATGACTACGACCTGTGCGACGAGGATTTTCGGACAAAGGGTCTCCAACGCCGCAGGCGGCTGCTGCTCCTTAACAACAACAACAACAACAATGGCTCCGAGAAGTCGAGCGGTTACACGGTGCCCTCGCCGCCCCTCATCGCCCGGAAGTTATTTGGCGAGCAGCGCAGTGGCCTTTTTTCCAAGAGCGAGCCGTACCAGCCGAGGTCCAAGAGGAGTTTCGAGGCCTTGCGCACGAGGAGCAAGTCCACGCAGCGGCTGGACGAGTTGTCCGGGACCGGGGAGACTCGAGTGCCGGTACATCGGGCCCACGGGTTGACGCGTTCGCACGAGAATCTCAGCTCGGCCGTCGACTACGTGAACGTCGGGTCGCCGTCGCGTTTTCCGAAGCGGCGGCTCGACAAGCTGCGCGAGGGGCCCCACGACGACTACGACACCGACATATCTCAGGCGACCAACAGCCAGCTCGAGTCGGCCACCTCGAGCGCCGTCAAGTACAATTACCGGCACCATCACCAGCAGCAGCTGTCGAGCAAGCGGGGCCTCCAGGACGACTACGACAGCAGCGGCTCGCCGCCGCGGTTGCTCCGCAACGGGTACAGCTCGAGCAGGTACGACTCGGATACGACGGCCCCCCGGGACTCGGTGCGTTATCACCACAGGGACCACAACCAGCGCATCATCCCGGAGGAGGATCCGAAGCGGCCGATGCGGCGCTCGCGCAATCGGTTGGACTACGTCGAGCAAGAGGGCGGCACCGGCGGGCCGCCACAGAGGCCGCCACGTGCGCATCACCACGCGCGCCACCACCACCACCACCACCATCAGCGCGAGGCCAGCAGGTTGAGCGACCCGGAGCGCAAGGATCGGCTCGCGGATTCGGGTATCGAGAACGATTATCGGCGCGACTCGCAGGAGGCGGATGGGGGTAGAACTGGGCGGGTCGAGGCCCTCGAGTCCGAGGACGAGGGTTTCGTCACGACGCAATTTATCAAGCAAGAGCGCCGGCACACCGACCGCAGTATGACCCCGTGCAGTGCCTCTGGAACCCCGAGTTCGTCCGAAAAGCAGCGCCGATACGATAAGTACGTGGTGTACTACGACAAGCAGGTCGTTGGTGGTCACAACAACCATCAGCCCTTGACGGCGAAGCCACCCTCGGGCGCTGATGTCAAGAAGTACGAGAAAAAGGCCGCGAAGAAGAGCGGCACGATGAGCAAGGTGAAGGAGCTCTTCCGGAAAAAGGAAAAGAAGGCCAAAGAGGAGAAGAGCAAGGGCAAGTACGCCCGCTCGGGTGGTAGCAGTGGCGCCCTCACCGACGACGAGGTCACCATGAGGTACCGCGAGTACCGTGGCGACCAGCTGCGCAACGCCAGGAGTGCCCGGGACCTCGAGAGCGAGATCAATGAGGTGAGTCTTTATTTTTTTTCTCAGTTTTTATTTTATTATTTTTTTCTCTATACTACAACGTTCCCCCCTTTGTTTGATAAAGTATACATATATACATGGGTGGATTCACGTTCCATAATCCGCTCATATACACAATTAGCCCGACCCCTCGGTTCGAAAGTCATTTTTCCCTATCTATTTAAATAAGCGGCTTTCAGCCCTTCCATTTTTATTGTTCTTTTGAGCTGTTAAATCGCCAGTTGATTACCCGTGGGTTACCGTTAGCTTAGCGTGAACAAACTTCTGGCAACCGCCAGTAAAAAGCAAACTTGATGTTGTTTAAAAGGTACATCGTATGTATGACACATTAATATCCCATCCCGAATATTCGAAGCGAAATTCGTGACGTTCGAAACCATCCAAAAGTCATATCCGTAACAACGAACGATCACGGACCTGACGTGCAATGCGCCTCTAATGGCTGTTTTCTTCGAAACAACGCTGCAGCGCAGCATCCATCAAGAACCATTCAGAGTGAGCAATTAACCAAAACACACAAACACGGGCATTCCAACGTAGAACATAACCTCAAACCGGCAACTCTCTCGAAGCTCCCGCAGCATATGTATCAGCTTCCGTTGCTGTCGGCGGGGGCTTTGCTAAACTCCGGCGCGGCTCTTCCAAGAAGCGGGAATCATCGGAATGAGAAACGAATAATTAGAAAGCACTTGTACGCTCGTCCATACCCGTTATTAATGCCCTGGAAACAGATGGTTGTTTATACGCCGCTCGAGTGCCGGCCAACCTACGGAAATATCAAAGTGCACCGCGCCTGGGGCCACCCCTCGGCACGCGCGCGCAATGAATCTCCCCGGCTTTAGGGACGATTTAGACGTCGTATTACACGCTGTACGGGTATACTTTCCAGAGAAACCCGTAGCGTTTTTTACACACCGATTTCACCGCACGATCTTATTCACCTCGTGGAAATGCAAGACTCTGTACTGCTTGCAGTGTTCTTAATTATCGCTTAAAATCGATGATTTCGATGATCAGGTGGTGAGCTTCGCGTGTCACTTTATTTATTTTCTCTCGAGAGCATGGACATATACGTATATATATACACAAGTCCAGCAAAATAAGCCGGTGCTTGTGTGTCTATATTTCCAGGATACGCGAACAGACAAAGGAACAATGAAGGAGAAGAGAAATAGCGGAGGCCGGAAACCCGCCGCCAAATTAGAGCGTCGCCGCGGCGCTAACGACGTCAATTTTAACGGTTCACTGTATACATGTATACACACACATAACGCCCATAGCCTGGCTTCTCCATCCTCTCTCTCTCTCCCCCGTTCTTTCTCTATTCCGTGGAATAGCGCAAACTCTCGCGCGCCTTTCTTCTCCTTCCTCCTCTTCTCCGAAGATTCTCATTTTTTTTTTTCCTTTCTTTCTTTCTCTTCTTCATTACTGTCTGAGAACAAAACTCAACACCTCGTGCCAATCGGTGTGTATAATATACGTACAATATGGGAGAGAGAGGGCCATAAATCAACGGCTGGAATTTGATCCTAGATCACTGTTTTTTTTTGTTTTTTTTTTGTTTTTTTAATCATCAAAATTAAGCGACGAAAGCTATTCCCCGTGATATGTGGTTACCGACATTTATAGGAAAAAAAAAAACCAGCAGTTTTTTAACGATCCCTTCCCCGAAATGTTTACCGACACAACATATACGCGGTCGTTATTTATACCGTAAAATAGTTGATGCACCAAAATCCCGTGGTGGTTCACGAATCAAAGCTCGTATACGAGGTGCGGACAATCGGCACGCGAGTGAACGACCTTCGCCGACGACGGTCAAAGTAAACGAGCGATCATCGCCCGGTCTCCCTATATAGAAAGCCGCACGCACACGTAACAGTTTCAGGTGAGAAAGGACTACGCAGCGGGGGGAGGTGGGGGCACGCCGGGTGTCGAGTAGGCAGCTAGTCACGCTCCTTGCGGACGACGCAACGGAGAGGCCGGAGGACAATCAGCGGCAGCTCTCTCTCTCTCTCTTTCTCTGTTATAAGTACACACACACACACACACACACACACACACACACACACACACACACACACACACACACATATATATATATATATATAGTCACTCGATTTGCGGCAGCAAGTGCTGTATATAATAGGGAAGGAACACTCGACGCCCACGCGTATATATATACGTATATGGTCCGGGCCGATGGCCGTGACGACGGTGTATTGTGTGTGCTTTCGTTCGTACACACCTACCGGCAAACGCGGAAGCGGCGTTTGTCATGGTACATTTGGCTTCGTACCGAAGGAGAAGATAGCCGTCTATGAAAAGACCATCTTTTGTTGTATTTTGATAATATTCACGATTGATGATTTCATTTTTTTTTTTTTTTTTTTTTTTTCAATCAAATTTTCATTTTCGAAAACCCCGTTTTTTTTTCTCTCAGCACTTCTCATCATCGCCGCGTTAATCAGCGGCCGCTGGCCTCGTCACCTCCTCAGTATACACGCTCCCATATACCCATCCACCAATAATAAATATACCCACACGCGCTATTGCCGGAACATCATCGCCGGCCCTCGGCAGCTCATTGAATACAACACGTACAAGTAGGTACATATACCACAAGTATACACGCGGCTGATGTATCGCGATGTTTTCCAAATGGAATCTCTAGCGTAACGGTCCCGCTGAACCTTATCGTACACGTCCCGACCCCGGCGGGGGTGGTAGATTCATCCATCTGTCTCCTTCACCCCCTCCTTCTCCCCCGTTTTTTTTTTTTTTTTTTTTTTTTTTTTTTTTTTTTTTTTTTTTTTTTTTTTTTTTTT